CCAGCGTGAGTTTTAAGCCACCGGGTCTGGGACGTGAACCGCAGTCGACTACGTGGGAGTCCAGTGACATAGCTATTACGCTAACTGCTGGTCCCCTCCATAAACTTTTTGAAGTCCCTTCATAGTAACATTAAAAAGTCACATGAGAAATTGTTACGTTAATTAAACATTCACCTTATTCATCTGTACTTTTTTTCCAGAAATATTGAAAGTTACTTTTTTTTTTTTAAGAGAATTTTGCTGTAGGGGGCGTGCACTCACCAGAAAGACCGTGGGAGAGAGAAAGTGAGAAGTCACCCCTTCCACCCTCCCCCAGGGAGGAAGACCACACCACAATCTCTTCTCCTCCATTCTCCTATCTGGATTTTGGGCATGCATGCACATATGCCTGGTGTGAGTTTTAAGCCTCTGTGTATGGGACTCAAATTGCAGTCGACTACAGGGGAGTCCAGCAGTGTAACCATTATACCATCTGCTGGTCCCCAAAAATACATTTTTTAAAAAGAACTCAAGTAGTTTTTTTAAAAATTGAGATTCTTTTACTGCTAAAAAAAGGGGGATTATTCATTTATAATTTGCTTTAGATGACTATAAGATATTTACATTTGAGTTTAAGATAAAGTGGAATTTTCCAATTTTCTTCTTAGTGCCACATTCTTAGGAACGAGTACAGAACTTTAACATATCACTAACTTCTCATACTTTGCAGCGGGTCATATTGGAAGAGCAGAATCTGATCCCAGGTTGGATGTTTCACATAGACATCTTCCACGAAGTTCTGAACGTTCAAGAAGTAGAGCTTGGTCTGAAAATAATGTCAAGAAATTAGCTCCATCTCTTCCAGATAACAAACAGGAGGAAAATTCTGCCTTAAATAAGGACTTTTTACCTGTTGAAATCCGTGGCATCCTTGATGACCTGCAGCTGGATTCTGCTGCTCAGTCTGCAAGGCAGGAGACTGGCGAATTACAGAGCCAGAAGTCCTCAGCGCCAGTACAAGCTCCTAGGAGTCATAGCCCAGTAAAAAGGAAACCTGACAAAATAACAGCTAGTGAAGATCCCCCTGTAATATCCAAAAAGCGCCACTATGACACAGATGAAGTACGCCAGTACATTGTTCGACAGCAGGAGGAAAGGAAGAGGAAGCAAAATGAAGAGAAGAAGGCCCAAAAGGAGGCTACTGAGCAGAAGAACAAACGCCTGCAGGAGCTGTACCGGAAACAGAAAGAAGCCTTTACTAAAGTAAAAAACGTGCCCGTGTCTGAGCCATCAGCAACCAGGCGGCTACAGGAAACGTACTCAAAGTTGCTACTAGAAAAGACTTTGCTTGAAGAGCCATCCCGTCAACAAGTTACACAGGAGACACAGGTAACGCTGCTGACAGAGATGCCAAGGGAGGTCATTCATGGTAGGAAGGGCTCATCTGCTATAGTGTTTAAAAATTCCTTACTGTTCCTAACATTCAGACATAGGCTGAGATGATCTTTATAATAATCAAGAGCTTTCTTGAAATTCATTGTGTATGAAGAGTAATGTGACAAATATGTTAGAAATAGAGTTGAATTAAGGGTTTCCTACAGTGACAGTTTTGCTCTTCCTCCCATCACTGTTATTAGTGATATCCCTGCCTAATTTTTATTGTAGTATTGAGCAAATGAAGTTTTATGTTAACAAAATATTTGGTTTTGTTATCCATGCTGAAATTGAGAATAGCCTAGTTTAATGTGCTAATTTAAAAAAAAAAGATTTATCTAATTACACATAATTCTTGTTTTTTAATTTGCTATAGGACATGTGCACTCACCAGAGAGAGACAAAGTGAGAAAGTAAGCTGCCAGGTCCAGGACTTGAACCGTGATCGGGCATGTGGAAGTCCAGCACCCTAACCACCATGCTGCATGCTGGCCCCATGCTAATGTTTTTAAGAATAATAACATTGATTGTGTGCTACATACCACATACTCTTTTAAAGGCCCTACTCACAGGCTTGATAAGCTTCAGTAAATCCTCACAACCTGATTAGAGTAGGTGCTATCTTATTTCCACTTACCAGGTGAAAAAACTGAAGTTTAGAAAGGATATTACTTCTTCCTAATTATGTGATTACAGTTAAGTGCCCTTGTTGGACGTGCTTTCTGTCATATAAAGAGAGGGAAAAGAAGCTCTATTGGAATGTGAACATATGAACAAAGACTAAGAAGGGATTTGATTTGATCTCAGATTGTGAACTATTTTAAATTGTCTTAAGAAAAAAATTTTTGCTGTTAATTCTAATGGTTGTTTTTAATGCAAAGTAGTTTGAATTGCTTTTATTCCAGGAGCAGAAAATCCCTACTTTTTACAAGCTTTATAAAACTGAAATAACTTAATATTTATCTTTATGTGCTACCTGAATATATCTTTATGATGGGAATCAGATTATTTGATGTTCTCTTTTCTTAGGCCAGACCAGGGTATCAGCCCTCTGGAGAATCTGACAAAGAAAACAAAGTACAGGAACGTCCCCCAAGCGCATCTTCCAGTAGTGACATGTCATTGTCAGAACCTCCACAACCTCTTGCGAGGTAAAAGAGAATGAAAGATGGTTGAAGTTCTTTTCTTTCATGAAATTTAGTACAATGGACTATGCTCAGTGAATTTTGTTGACTGACCTTTGTCAGCAAGACGGTAAAAAGAGGTTTATTTAGGTACTGGCTAATATCTTCTAAGGGTGCTAAAGCTGTACTTACTGTATTCCCTACTCTGTTGAAATTTTCCCTGCTTTGGGACCAGCAGTCCGCGTAATGGCTATGTCGCTAGACTCCCACGTAGTCGACTGCAGTTCGCGTCCTGGACCCGGTGGCTTAAAACTCACACCGGGCGCGTGTGTGTGCGTGCCCAAGATCCTGAGAGGAGAATGGAGGAGAAGGGATTGCGGCGTGGCCATCCCCCCTGGGGGGTGATTTCTCGCTTTCTGTCTCTCTGTATCTCTCTGTCTGTCTGGCGAGCACACGTGTCCTATGGCAAAAACCTCTTAAAAAAAAAAAAGAAATTTTCCCTACTTTTTTAATCCATTGTAATGTCAGTTCCATCTGCAGTTGGAAATGCTTTTTCCCTTTTTGAACTAAACACACAGTAAAATTTTGTTGGATGAATTAATCGCAGTGAAATTAGTATTTTAAAATACTTAAATAATTTTCTAAAAGCATTTCTGTATTCATTTTTATTCAAAATTTTTTTCTTATGACTCATTCTAGTTCATCTGTCTTACCTTTCAAGAGCTATATTTGGTGCCAGTTTCTGGATGCAGCTGTAAGGCTAGTGTTCTGCAGAGCTAAAAGCTCTGTGATTGAGCCCTGATCAGCCTGAAACACACACTAGGCATGTGCACAGGTGCCCAGGATCCAGAGGAGAGGGTCATGGTGTGTCAAGACCCCGTTAAGGGTGCTTTCTCTCTACCTTTCTTGGATTTGTACTCATCAGTGTCTTTTACATTATAGCTTTCTTTGTATTTAGGACTAGCTTAGTTCAGGCCCTAATGACCTCACACCATGCATTTGTAATAGTCTACTCCGTGGCATAGAATCTATGCTCTAGTCTCATCCGTCATTTCATTCTTAGCAACCAGCCCTTCATTATAAAAGACTGCTATAATTTAACTTCCAACCAACTCTTGCATGACACACTTTAAATTCCCTTATCAGCTTAGGTACCTTGCTTCAGATGATATTTTTAAAAGTTTGTTTATTTATTTCTTCCATGAGATAAAGAGAAAGAGAGAGAGAGAAAAAAAAACCCAACAGAGTCCTCACGCTGTGGTCCAGCACCAGCCTCAGCCAGCCTGGATCAGGAATGTGGGTGTGTGTATTATGCCCAGCACGCTGGAAGGCCCCAGGAGGCAAATTGGGGACGTTCCTATGTGGGTCCAGTTGTATTTCCACTGCGCCCCACTCTGGGCCCAGATGTTTTTATTTCTGTTTTATTTTCAGAAAGTACATGCACTCGCCAGAGAAAGGGGCAGAGAGAAAGAGAGAAGCACCCCCTTCTAGTATGTGAACATGCCGCAATCCTTTTTCCACCATTTGTCCTTCCCATCAGCATTTTGGCATGCACACATACATGCCTAGTGTGTTTTTCAAGCTATCGAGGCCAGGATTCGAACTGTGTATGGTCATGTGGGATTTAGCTCTCTTAACTACTGGACCAGACCCTTGATTTTTTTTTTAACCTAATTATAGAACATTACATTAATCTATTATTTTATTTATTTATTTATTTATTTTTTGAGAGGTTTTGCTATGGGGCCTGTGCGCTTGCCAGAAAGACACAGAGAGATAGAAAGCGAGACATCACCCCTCAGGGGAGATGGCCATGCTGCAATCCTTCTCCTCCATTCTCCTCTCGGGATCTTGGGCACGCATGCCCAGAATGAGTTCAAGCCACTGGGTCCGAGATTCGAGCTGTGGTCAACTACATGGGAGTCCAAGCAACATAGCCATTACGCCAACTGCTGGTCCCCATCTATTAGTTTTTTCTAAGTTGCAGCTTATACAAATAATTTGTAATCATAATTTGTCATTTGTTGGGTTAACTATGCTTCCTAGGTTTCTCTTATCTGCAGATTTGGTAAGTGTATCTTTATCCATTGTCCAAAATTAATGGGCAAGACCAAGTACAAACCCTCATGCTATTCTTCTCAAGACCATTTTAAGAGTTGACATTAGCCTTTAATCTCTCTGTAGTATCCCTTAACATGCAGGGAGTCAGTAGACAGGAAAACTAGGTGAACGTATCTAATGTTGTCTAGGACATCATCATTCTGTTTCTGGACTGTATGGACACCCTGTCTTCTATTTTATGTTTGGAATAATCACCGCCCCCAGCGGGGATGGCCATGCCACAGTTGGTTCTCCTCCATTCTCGTCTCAGGATTTTGGGCACTCACACTCACACATGTCCGGTGTGAGTTTTAAGCTGCCAGGTCCGGCACTTAAACTGCGGTTGACTGTGTGAGAATCTGGCAACATAACCATTATACCATCTTCTGTAGGGTCTCAGTAGGATATAATTCTAAGTGAGATATTAATAGTGACTCTTTTCGATTATGTAGTTATGAGTGATCTTTATCATTTCTGTCTTTTTTTTTTTTTGGCATCGCCTGTGCATCACTTTTATAATCAGAACAAAAGCAAAATTTAAAAAAATAGCACTTTAGTTATGAGTTGCTGTGTTAACTAACATATTTTGACTTTCATTTCCAGAAAGGACTTGGAACCTACATGGATGCAGCCTGACAGATTGAGCCCACGAGTTCAGCATCCTCAACCACAGCCTCTTGTTGGAACAGCTGGAAATTTACTCTCCCATCTCTTGAGTCTAGAGCATGTAGGAATTTTGCATAAGGATTTTGAATCTCTTTTACCAACCAGGAAGAATCATAATGTGGCTTCGGGACCAGTAACTTTTGCACCTCAACCATATCTGACCTCACCAGCTGCTCATCCAGATGCCTTGTTAAAACCTAGTGCCACCCAATATAAGAGTAAACTGGATCGTATTGAAGCCTTGAAAGCAACAGCTGCTTCTTTGTCCAGCAGGATTGAAAGTGAAGCTAAGAAATTAGCTGGCGCCAACATTAACTATGGGTCAGTATGTAACACCGAGTATGATGTGCAGCGAGCACCTCAAGAAGATGGACCTTGGGCCAAACCTGTGAGTCCACCTGTGAAGGAGGATACTGAAGATGTTTTCTCTGCTCGAATTCAAAAGATGTTGGGAACCTGTGTATCTCATGCGACTTTTGATGATGATCTTCCTGGTGTAGGCAACCTCAGTGAATTTAAAAAGCTTCCTGAGATGATAAGACCTCGGAGTGCCATATCAAGCTTCAGAATGAGATCCCCTGGTTCCAAACCAGAAGGGCTGCTGGCCCAGTTGTGTAAGAGGCAGACTGACTCTTCTAGCTCTGATTTGCAAGCCTGTTCTCAAGACAAAGCCAAACTGTCTCTAGGTTCCAGCATAGAGTCAGTAAGTGAAGGGCCTCTTCTTAGTGAGGGAAGTCTCTCCGAAGAAGAGGGAGGCCAGGATGGACAGCCCTTTGTGAAGGTAGCAGAAATCTTAAAAGAAAAGGAATTTTGTGCTGGAGAAAGAAATGCTTATGAACCCATCAAAGAGTTTCAGAAGGAAGCTGAAAAATTTTTGCCAATTTTTGGGCACATAAGTGATGCACAAAACAAAGGACCATGGGAAGAATTGGCAAAGGGAAGTCCACATAGTGTCATCAATATTTTTACAAAATCATATCAATTATATGGAAAAGGTGAGAAAAATAAGTAAGGCTTGTGTTACTTGTATGTTACCATAAGACATTATTTCCTTACAAGGTATGCACTTAAATGCACATTTTTCATTACTCATGAGATAATACAGGCTAATTATTGTCCATATTAGACATTTTCTAAATTTTCCGTAAGCTTCAACTAGAGTATAAATAATATAACCTTTACAATTGATTTTTTAGTTATTGTCATAAAGCGATAATTATTAGTAGTTTAAATTTGATCCATTTTAGTGGAATTCAGGATTGGATGATATATATCTATAAAGTGTATACTACATTTTTTTTATGACCATAATTATGTTCAGGTGTTTCTTGGTTTCTGTGAAGGATTAATTCCAGGACCCCCACATAATACCAAAATCTGTGGATGCTTAAGTCCCTTGTATAAAACATCACGGTATTTATAGTATTTTCACATAGTATAACCTACGTATAGTACAGTCTCTTGTGTATTTTAATCTGTAGATTACTTATAATACCTAATATATATAAATGTACATGAATTGTTATAGTGTATTTTTAGGGAAATCTGTGACAGAAGAAAGTACATGTAAGCAATTTTGGAACATTTTCTACCCATGGTTGGTTGAATTTGCACATGCAGACCCAGGATTGTGGAGGGCTACTATACTTACATAGAAACTGTGTATATTTCATTTTCTTTAGTTTACAATAGGGTATGTATGTTTGCTCGAGAGAGACAGAGAAAGATTGAGAGAGCAAGTGAGAAATCATTTCCCAGGGGGGCATGGCCGCACTGCAGTTCCTTTTTCTCCATTCTCCTCTTGGGATTTTGGGCGTGCACGCACACATGCCTAGAGTGTTTTTCTTTTCTTTCTTGCTTGCTTTTTTTCATGTATGATTGAATAAGAGTAGATTTACTTTGATATAAAATATTTGGGAATGTATACCTAGTATTTTCTTTTTATTTATTTTACATCCATTCACTGTATGTCATTACAACATACAAAACGAACTTACTCCATTCACTGTATATCATTACAACATACAAAACGAACTTACCCATCCATAATACAATGTATATTGGCTCAACCCAAGATATTACCATACATATTATCTTTAACAGATAATTTTCCATTTTGTGTTTCATAAATGTTTTCTTTCTCTCTTTTCCCCCATGTTTTTTCGCTCTCACCCTCACTATTTCCCACCCTCTTGCCATACTGTTTCTGGTATCCATAGTTGCTCTCCATACCTTTATATACATGAAACATCTCAACTAAGACCACAAACTATAGAACTAGTTGTGGGAAACACTGGGGAAACTCTTGGAGACATTGGGGTCAACAAAGACTTCTTAAATAAAACCCGCAAAACACAGGAAGTAATCCCCAAAATAGAAGAAGTGGAATTACATCAGGTTAAAAAGCATCTGCACAGTAAAAGAAACAATAATTATAGTGAATTGACAATCTTCAGAATGGGAGAATATATTTGCAAACTATGCCTCAGATATGGGACTGATAACCAGAACATACAGGGAACTCAAGCAGTTTACAAAAAAAAAAAAAAAAAAAAAGAAAAGAAAAGACTCACATGAGAGAAAGTGAGAAAGCAAGCCACCTCGTCCGAGGCTCAAACTGTGGTTGGCTGTGTGGGAGAGTGTCCAGTGCCTTAACCATCACGCCACCTGGCAGTCCACCATGCACCCTCTAGTACTTAAAAAAAAGAAAAGAAAAATATTTTTAAGTTCTTTTATTAGATTTTCATTAAGTTTTATTGTTGAGGGGCCAGCAGGTGGCATGGCCCTTGTGGCCGACTGTGGTTCAAGTCAAAGACCTGATGGCTTGCTTTCTCAATTTCTCTCTCTCTCTCTGTCTCTCTTCGGTCAAATTAAATAGTAACAATAATAATAAATAACATTAAATAAGAATAGTTCTTTTTAAAAAAGATTTATTGTTGAAGTTATGTGGTATCGGGGATTTGAAATAATCTGGGGGGGGGGAAGTGTAAGTAAGAGGAAATAGAGGTTTGAAATAGTTCTTTTTAAAAAAGATTTATTGTTGAAGTTATGTGGTATCGGGGATTTGAAATAATCTGGGGGGAAGTGTAAGTAAGAGGAAATGGAGGTTTGATGGAAACTAGATCATATATTGACCATGGTTGAAGCTGCGTGACAGATGCATTGATTTTATTATGCTTTTTCTTTTTATGTATGCTTGGAATTTTTTCTAGTAAAAAGTTTAAAATGTATTGGTAGATACCAAGGTAAATTGATCAGGAGCACTAATTAAAGCAAACTAAAATATCCTTAAATCCATGTTAATCTTCACATAGTGGGATGCTTTGTTTATAGTTCTTTGACTTTTATTAACTATACTTCAATTACTACTTTTGACAGGATATGAAGATAGGTTGAACAGAGGTACATCAGCATCACGACCTCTGAATGCCATCACAACCCCTCTAAGCAGTGTTTCGTATGAAGATGATTTTGTTTCCTCTTCAGGGAGTGGGACTTTGACAGAAAAAAGATCAGCTCTTGAACTTAAGTAAGGATGTGTTGATAATATGGAATAAAATTAAAAAGTGAGAAAAATATGCAAATGAGAACTGTGGTCTTAATATCAGTCAACATTGACTTGTTTAAAGATACGTAGGCGGAACGTTATAGAGTAGTTAAGAGCATGGACTCTGGATCTAGACTTAGATTGCCTGGGTTTAAATCTTGTCTCCCTGGTTATTAACTGCGTGTATTTGCTCATGTTACTTAACCAATCTATTGCCTCAGTTTCCTTCTCTGTAAAATGGGAAACATAATAATACCTGCCTATCTCATAGAGTTCTTATGAGTATTCAGTGAAATATAAAGTCCTTAGAACAGAATCTGGCCCATGGTAAGCAGATTGTAGGTTGCTAAATTGATCTTTGAGTCCCTAGTGGAGAATACTGTTGGGAAATTAGACCATGGTATACTAATTTAAGAAGCTTAAGAAATGTTTTTCTCTGATGGAATTGAGGATGATCCAGTAGATACTTGATACAGGGTACCAAGTAATAAGTAATTTTTTTTATGATGAGAACATCTAGAATTTTATAAAGCTGTGAAAAATACTTATGATGATTATAACATCTAATATTTACTGAGTACTTAATGTGAAAACACTGAGGGAACTTAAGGACTTTATCTGCATTAACTTATTTTTATATCCTGATGTGATAAGTATCGTTATTCCTATCACAGAGTGGAAACTGAAGTACAGAGGTTGTTTGTAGAGAGTCACATATTAAGCAAATCAGACTTTGCTGGAGAGAATTTCCTTGCTAAATTTTGTTAATATACAAATTAGTCTGTAATTACTCATATTCAGTATCATTTTCTTCACATACCAGAAATTATAATCCTCCTAATTTATTAGGTGCTCTTATAGAAATTTGTTGAATTAGTAGAAATATTCAGTTATAAATTACTGGATATTTTCTGGCATCCAACATTATATTTTTTGTCTGATGTATGTGAAGTATTAGTTTTTATTGGTTTCATTTCAGAAAGTAACTCACCTGAGAGTCTTCTCAGTAATAAATTGAAGCACAGGGAACAATTCAGACTTTTTATAGTAAGAAAAAAAGTAAAGTAGAAGCCATCAAACCTGTAGTTTATATTGTCCTCGTCATTAAGCTTATTTTTAAATATCTTTATTCTTAGATGTGTTGTAAGACTTTTTTAAACTTTGCTCTTTGACAGCATTGGTGGTAGCGATCTAGGCATTCAGGAGGACCATTCTAGCCGAAAGCCTGCCCACGACCTCTCCTCTGTGGATGCGACCTCTCAGCACTCGTCCGGAGCCCACTCTGCGGCATCGTCTCGGTCATCCTCTTCTTCCAAGGGAAAGAAAGGAAAAAAGGAAAAGAGAGAATGTAAGTAGAATTCCACGTGGTAACTTCTCTTCCCAATGATTTTGTGGTAGTGATCTAAAGTTGTAATTTGATTCCATAAGAAGTTAGAGGGATGTTGAGGCCAGCAGGTGGCATGGTAGTTAAGGGTGCTGGATTCCCACATGGCCAACCGTGATTCAAGTCCTGGACCTGGCAACTTGCTCTCTCACTTTCCCCTTTTTTTCTCTCTTTATCTCACACTGTCCCTCTCTGGTCAAATTAAATAATAGTAATAATAATAATAGTAATAATAATAATAAAAGCTAAATAAATAATTTTATAGTAATAATAATAATAGTAATAATAATAAAAGCTAAATAAATAATTAAAAAAAATAAAAAGGAAGTTAGAGGGATGTCTACATGATGATAATGTACTAGCTTTCACATATTGTAGAACCTTTTGGGATACAGCATTGTAAATCTTTTTCACACTAAAGGAGTGCATTTGCAATGATAAAATATTAAGAATTACAGATAAACACTTATCTAGGAAATATAAATCGCCTTTGATTCTTCTGTTCAGAGAGCACTACTCTTCACATTTTGGGTGTCTGTTTTTCCATTATGTACATAGAGTGATAGACACATACCTTTATTTTAAAAATAAATGCAAATAATATTGCTTTAATTAAGTTTTATAATAGTATATATCTTTTATATCTCTGAACATCATTAGAAAAAATACTCAAATTTCCTTATCTGTAAACTAGAAATCATAACAAATATGGGAATTTTGAAATGCACATGAAATCAACAGAGCCAACGTGCGCATTCTAGTACTTAACACAGAAGCTGGCCCATCAACAGTCAGTAAATATTTTTGAGTGATTGAGATACCCTCAGTGCGATCAGTTTTGTTTTTGACTGTGGTTTGTTCTGTCAGGCTACAGGTGAGTTAAAGGCCTCTTATTATTTATTGTTTTAAGACATTTTTTGCTTTGTTAATGATGGAAGATGTGTGTGCACATATGAAAGTAAGAGAGAGAGATGAGCACCTGTGCATGACTGGCATTTTCCAGACTGACTGGGCCAGGAATTCAAACCACAGTTGCCGTGTGGGGTCCAGTTCCTCTCGGATAGCCCAGTATCCCAGCACTGTGGAGATGAACTGGCCAGTCTCTTAAACTCACAGGATGGCTTCTACATAGGGAATGATTTTGCCTCTGAAGTTATTTTTTATGATTGTAAAGATAAAACCTGTCCACTGAGGTTTTTTTTTAGCTGGGAGGGCGTGGCTCCTAGCTTAGTGGTTAAGGGAGGTGGAATCTCACATGCTTGCCGTGGTTTGAATCTCAGCTGGCAGTTTGCTATAAACAGGCTCCATTGAGGGGATGCTCTCTCCTCCTCCTCCCTCCCTCTCTCTCTCTCTCTCTCTCACAAATCCATGTGCCCTTTTGCAATTTAATAAAAAGAAAAGCTAGGCAATGGTGACAGAGGCAGAGGGAAGAAATCAGTCAATATAGAAAACAATACATTTAAAAGTAAAAAATTGGGGCCAGTTGATGGCATGGTGGAACTCACATGGCAGAATATGTACTTTGAGTTCCAGATTTGATGGCTTGAAAAATACACAGGATGCATGTGCATGTGTGCCCAAATTCCCAAGAGGAAAATGTAGAAGGGATTGCAGCATGCCTGTACCCCATGGGACCGCTTTCTTACTTTCCCTCTTTCTTTCTCTCTCTCCGTCTTTCTCTGTACTCTCCCTATAGCAAAAATTAAAAAATAAAAATTGTCTGTAATCACTCTACCTAGAGATAATCAGTGTTAATATTTAAAACACTTATTTACTTTTTATTGTGATAAAATATGCATAACAAAATTTACCATTTTAATGATTTTTAAGTATACAGTTTAGTGGCATTAAGTACATTTACATTGTTTTTTAATTTGTACATGTGATTGCTGGAGAGAAACAGAGAGAGAGAGTGAGAACGCGTTCCCCAGGGGCAATGATCACACTGTGGTTCTTTCTCCTCCAATCTCCTCTCTGGATCTTGGGCATTCACACACACACGCACCTAGCACCACCAGATCTAGTACTTGAACCACATAGGTGGCCATGTAAGATCCAGCCTCCTTAACTACCATGCCACCTGGGAGTCCTACATTTACATTGTTTTGTTTTGTAAAGTTTTAAAATTTTTGCTGTAGAGTGTCTGAGAGACAGACAAAGGGGGGAAAGTGAGAAATCACCCCTGGGGGGGATGGCCACACTGCAATCCCCTTTCCATTTTCCTCTCAGGATTTTGGGCATGCATACATGCGTGCCTGCCTTGTTTTTCAAACCTCTGGGTCTAGGGGGATCAGCAGTTAGCGTAATGGCTATGTCGCTGGACTCCCAGTAGTCAACTGCAGTTCGAGTCCTGGACCTGGCGGCTTAAACTCACACCGGGCATGTGTGCATACGTGCCCAAGATCCCAAGAGGAGAATGGAAGAGAAGGGATTGTGGCGTGGCCATCCCCCCTGGGGGATGATTTCTTGCTTTCTGTCTCTGTCTTTCTCTGTCTTTCTGGCGAGCGCATGTGCCCTATAGCAAAAACCCTTAAAAAAAACAACAACAAAAAAAACAACAACAAAAAAAACCTCTGGGTCTGTGCACTGTGCAGTTGGTGGGATCCAACACTTGAACCACCATGTCACCTGCAGCCCCTCGTGTGCATTGTTAGTGTAGCCATCATCACTTTCTGTCTCTAGAATGTTTTCATCTTCCCATGTTGAAACTCTGTACTCACTGAGCAACAGCCTCCATTCCTTCATTTCTCCCTCCCCCAGTACCTGTAACCACTATTCTGTTTTTCTGTCTTTATGAATCTGACTGCTCTAGGTATTTCATGTAAGTGGAATCATAAAATATTTGTCCTTCTGTGTCTGATTTCACTTAGCATATGTCTTCAAAGTGCATCCGTGTTATGGTTCAGGATTTCCTTTCTAATACATATTCCATTGTGTATATACACCACATTTTATTTATCTCTTCATCTGTCATTTGGTTGTTTTGTTTCATTTTTTTAGCTGTTGTTGACATTGATGTAAATGTTGGTTTGAGTCACTGCTTTTTGATTCTTTTGTGTATATACCCAGATGTGAAATTGCTGAATCAAATGGTAATTTGGTGTTTAATTTTTTGAGGAACCACCATACTGTATTCCATAGCAACTGCAAACTTTATGTTCATACTGGCAATACTCAAGATTCCAATTTCTCCACATCATGGTGTTACTTCTTTGGCTCTTTACTCTTTTCTGTCTGTTTTTATAAATAAGTGTGAAATGTTAACATTTTTATCAATGGTAAGAATCCTTTCAGACAATTTGTAGGCATGTATAAGTAGGAAGTTTTATATGTAGAGGATCACATTTTACATGCTATTTTGTTCTATTATTTGAAAATATTATAATTTAGTCAATTAAAGAGATTTTTGCTATAGGGCACATGCACTTGCCAGAGAGACAGAAAGTAATATATCCCTCCTTCTCCCCAGGAGGATGGTCATGCTGCAGTCCCTTCTCCTCCATTCTCCTCTTGGGATTTTGGCATGCATACACATGTGCCCAGTGTGAGTTTCAAGCCAGTAGGTCTTGGACTTGAACTGTGGTTGGCCATATGGGAGTCCAGCACCTTAACCAACATGCTACCTGCTGGTCTCCTGGTTATTTTCTTTTTCCAGTTATAAACTGGTGCATTGAATGTCCTTATAAATACTATCTTTACTCATTAGTCTGATTCTTTCCTAGAAGGGAAGAATCTCAGAAGCGAGATTATTGGTCAAAGGGTATGTGCCATGTTTGAAACTTGGGTACATTTTTGTCAGCCCTTCAGAAAGCTAGCGTTAATTTATTCTTCCAATAAGAGAGGGCTGAGAGAAATTATTTCTTAATCGTTAACCTAGTATAACCTTCTTGCAGAGTGGAAGCATTCTGAAAGTCTTGGATAGATACTTTAGACATCATTCTATCAGCACTTCCCAAAGTCTGTCCTTCCTGTGATACAGGGCTCACTGGGATAGGCTGTTTTGTAGGTGTTCTGAGAATAAAAGAGCTCCATGAGCCCATGGATTGGGAAATGCTATTAGAGTGAAACTGGCTTATTTCCTTCAGAACTTATTAACACGATTAATGTGTTAATGTGGATCATTTGTTAAGATTTAGTTTCATGCTTTTATCAGTGTGAAGCATTTTCCAAGTTTATTTGACCATAGACTCATTTCTTTAATCAGCATGTTATGGCATTAGAATTCAGCTGAACATAGTTTGAGAAATGCTGATCTTGCTCAGTTTTTGTATTTTGCAGTTGTTATGCTTTGCTATGTTAGTGTTTAACAAGTCACTAACTTGTTACTGGCAAAGCCCATAACTTCTGACTCCCAAATCTAGTCTGTCTTCTATATTTTGACCATAGACTCATTTCTTTAATCAGCATGTTATGGCATTAGAATTCAGCTGAACATAGTTTGAGAAATGCTGATCTTGCTCAGTTTTTGTATTTTGCAGTTGTTATGCTTTGCTATGTTAGTGTTTAACAAGTCACTAACTTGTTACTGGCAAAGCCCATAACTTCTGACTCCCAAATCTAGTATGTCTTCTATATAATATACTGAGCAACTGTAAAATACTATGATGTGTCAAGTATATGTATAATGCAATTCAATGTAGGCTTTAAAAACTAAAAATGTTGGGCCCGATTTTGAGTCCTGAACCTGAAGACTTACTTTCTTACTTTCCTTCTCTGTTTCTCATTCTGTCCCTCTCTGGTCAAATTAAAACAAACAAACAAATAAATATAGTTAATTAAAATATTTCTATGAAAAAAGAGAATACCCTTAACCCCATTTAAAAAATCAAATAAAAATGTAGGAACCAGCGGTTGGTGTAATGGCTGTGTTGCCTGACACTCATTTAG